TCTCCAGCGGCATTGGGTTATGAGGGAACTCTCCCTCAACATGTACATTGCTTAACTATACCCTCTACTGTAGGCTCGTCTGGCTGCGCGTGTTCATCCAAGGAGAAGTGCGCGACGAGATGCACGAAGCCATGCAGCTGTTGCCCATAGACGTATGATTCGACTGCTGCATTCTGCATGACTAAGCAAGGGAAATATTAATTCTTCTGTTTTGTTTCTCGTATGTTATGACTGAATTATTGGAATGTTTGCCTAAATGAAAGAATGTGAAAAGGTGGTTTTTAATTCTCATTCTATATATAAAATGTCGGCATTCCTGCCACAAATATTATATATAAATGAGTATAGAATTCGTTCAGTTTTAAACATTATGAGATTGGAATACGAAACTTCATCAGACTTGAATCTGTCTTTTTCTACATTCTCTCTTGTATAAAAATAAAATGTCTATCCATCTACTTTTATTTTCCTTTTCTTCCTCTAACACCCGCTGGCAAAGGGGTAAGCGAGCAGATCGAAAATTAAGTGGCTGTGCACCAACAGGGCCGAAGAGCAACGTGCAACCGGGAGGAGTAACTATAATGATCAATGAAACTGGTTTCGAAACCCATGATCATATCCTCTCAATAGGAATTCGAATGCAGTTTCTACCTACTGTATATACTTTGGCATTAATCGATAAAAAAATAAATATACTTGTTGGATTAAAATATTCAAGCTGGTCCCGAGAACAAAAATATGTTGGGAGAAAATAAGCAAAAAAGTCTCAAGACATTAGGCAAGAATTTAAAAATGAAGGAAAGGGCAAAGTGCAGAAGAGACAATATATGGATAAATATGGGTAATAAACTATAAAAGACGAAAGTGTTTTCGGTCGTGATTGTGATGGAAATTTTGCAGTCGTGATTTCTTAAAATAAGAGGGATAAGACGAAATGGAAGGCAGATATATCGACATACTGAGATCGATCGATAGATAGCAAAGAGAGTAGATATATAGAAATTGTTAAATAGATAGGCAGATAGATTCAGAAACTGATAAATTGAGAGGGATGTGCATATAAATATATATATACACTTATACATATATACACATACACATATATATATACATACACATATATATATACATACACATATATATATACATAGACACATATATATATACACATATAAATATATATACACATACACACATATATATACACATACACACATATATATATACATACACATATATATATACATACATATATATATATATACATACACATATATATACTTACACATATATATACTTACACATATATATACTTACACATATATATATACTTACACATATATATACATATACATATATATACACACACATATACATATATACATACACATATATACATATATACATAAATGTACATATACATATATACATATACATATAGAGAGGAGGAGAGAAGAAAGTGAGTTACATATATATGTGAATGTGTGTGTGTAAAGAAAGAGAGAGAGAGAGGAAGAAAGAGAAAGAGAAAGAAAGATAGAAAGAGAGAGAAAGAGATATATAAAGAGAAAGAGAAAGAGAGAGAGGTGAATTGGTTCGAAATTCCTTAACCAGTAACTGTCATTGCTGCACACGACACGCAGTGAAATCCCTTATCAATCGCTTATATAAGCGTGGAGCGTTGCCTGTCGTTTCAGAACTGCCTTTCAGAGTTACTCGACAGTGTGCAGTGTTGATACAACTTCAAAATGCCTGATCCTTGCTGTAACGGTAAGAAAGTTTGTTAATATTCTTTCTCTAAAGTTGTGAAGTATATATTTCTTATTTCAGATTTTACCAGAAATTCCATAACAGAAATGTTTAGTCTTTCGCATGGTGATCAGTGTTATTATGAATTTACTGTTGATTCTATCATTTTTTCTTTTCAGAGAAATGCGTTTGTGCCGAGGGTGGCTGCATGAAGAGCTGCAAGTGCACAAGCTGCAAATGTAAGTATGAGGATCTTTTTTTTTTTTTTTTTTTTTTGCTTATTTTAGATAATTTCGTATCTGTAAAAGAAGCATCTTTTGCAGATCACCCCAATGCGAAAAGGCAGTCTACAGATTGAATTTTTGCGTTTATTAGAAAATAATTTAATATAAGCTGTAAAAGGTCGATCTTTTACAAATCGACCCAATTCCGACGGGCATGACCTGTACGTACATGCCATGCCCACTGAGTTTACTTGTTTAATTGTTTTACACTTGATGGCTGCACTGGTACTAAATCGCCATGAGCCAGTTACGAGTACTGCCAGTCTCGCCCGTTTACCCCTTTTCCTTGATTTACGAGACCTTAATCTTATCTTGCTGATACTGTTATAAACATTAATTAAGACTTTTATGATAAAAAAGTAACCAATTGATATTTTTAGTATGAGTAAGAAAAATTATCGCCAATTCAAAAGGCCTACTAGTTGACTCCTTTGTAGCTAAGCAGTAGCGGAGCCATCTAATGTCAG